ACACTGTTATACTCTATTGATAATAACATTTAACATACTCTCGGAGCCATCGGCATCAATACCTTCTGTCTCTCCAGAGGCCATGTTATAGGAAGGAGCTCCACAGCAGCAGGTGGCATTAGAACCATCCAAACCAGACAGGCACAGGGAACTAGCAACCTTTCCTCTCCCCAGGACCCTTGGGGTAGTGCAACGCACACTCACTCTGTACTGTGGAGACACTATGAGAGAAATAATCACGAAGCCTCGTCCTTTCCGGAATGCCAGAGAAGAGAGAGAGAGAGAGAGGAGAGAGAGAGAGAGAGAGGGAGAGAGAGGAGAGGAGAGAGAGAGAGAGAGAGAGGCGGAGAGGAGAGAGAAGAGAGAAAAGGAGAAAGAGAGGAGGAGGAGAGGAGAGAGAGCAGGGCAGAGAGGAAGATAGAGAGAGAGAGAGAAGAGGAAAAAGAGAGAAAAAGAGGAGGGAGAGGAGAAAAGAGAGGAAGAGGAGAAGAGGAGAAAAGGGGGGGGGAAAAAAAGGGGGGAAAGGGGGAAAGGGGAAAAAAAGGAAAAGGGGAAGAGGAAGAGGGGGGAAAGGGGAAAAAAAAAGAAAAGGGGGGGGAAAAAGAGGGGAAAAGAAAAAAGGGGGGGAAAGGGGGAAAAAAAGAAAAAAAAAAGGGGGGGAAAAAAAAAAAAGGGAAAAGGGGAAGAAAGGGAAAGAAAGGGAAAAAAAAGAAAAGAGGGGGGAAAAAAAAGGGGAAAAAGGGGGGGGGGAAAAAAAAAAAAAAAAAAAAGGGGGGGGGGGGGGGGGGGGGGGGGGGGGAAAAAAAAAAAAAAAAAGGGGGGGGGGGGGGGGGGGGGGGGGGGGGGGGGGGGGGGGGGGGAAAAAAAAAAAAAAAAAAAAAAAAAAAAAAAAAAGGGGAAAAAAAAAAAAAGGGGAAAAAGGGGAAAAAAAAGGAAAAAAAAAAAGGGAAAGGGGGGGGGAAAAAAAAAAAAAGAAAGTGGGGAAAAAAACAATTTGAGAGAGAAGAGGAGAGGAAAGGAGGGAGGAGAGAGAGAAAGAGGGGAAGAGAGGAAGAAGAAAGAAGAGGAAGAGAGAGGAGAAGAGAGAGAGAGACGAAGGAGAGAGGAGAGAGAGGAGAGAGAGAGATGAGAGAGAGAGGAGAGAGGAGAGAGAGAGAGAGAGGACTGCAGACAATAACATTTAGTTAAAGCTGTTGGAATTGCTTGCTAATAAAATTACAGTAAACCCTGGTGTCTTAAAGGACATATCTAAAGCATATTGGATTTACTGTAGGACTATTTTTGACTAGATTTGAAAGAATGTTACATATAAAAACAGCATATATCATGGGGTGACCATATCTGTATGCTTTTAAGCAATAATACCATGTCTTCGCCAGCAGTATGAAACCATCTACAATGCAGTTTTACAATGTGTTTCACAGTAATAGCCATTGCTCTTTACAATGTCTGGACATTTACTGACATCTAGTGGTAAAGTACTGTTCCCACAACACAGGTACTAGTAGGTACATCACTAGTTTAATTAGATTTGTTATTATTATTATTGTTGTTGTTGTAGTTGTTTTATGCCACTCTAGTCTGTACAATATATTACCTAATAGATATTGCAAAAGTGACAGCTGCATGTTTACCGTATATACAGATACCAGTTGCTTTGACAAGACAATACTTATTATCTGACTGTTAGATTGTCATATTGTGGGTTGGTAGCACAGGAGGTTGGTGGCACCTTAATTGGGGAGGACGGGCTCATGGTAATGGCTGGAGCGGAATGGGTGGAATGGTATCAAATACATCAAACACATGATTTGATGACATTACATTTGCACCATTTCAGCCATTATTAAGAGTCGTCCTCCCCTCAGCAGCATCCACTGGTTGGTAGTATTGTGCATACACCCCTGAGCCTGAGCCTTAGTTTCTGTCTGGAGCAGGCAGAGTGAAACCTAACTGTAAGTTTTGGTTCTGTTGCCTGGCAACTCTCCATAATGGGAATGACATATAGAAACTGCCGGTAATTGTGGGTGGAGTCCATTTCAACACTATCAACCTGCACTTTGATCCAGCAAGCCACCACAACATACATTGGCATGTTGATCGATTCTAACATCGAACCAAGAGGAGGAGGGCATTTTGGGCACTAGCACCCTCTCCTCTCCACAGGACACTTGGGAGCAGTGCACAGCACACTGACACTCTGTACTGTCAGCTCCGTAACACCCTGAGAGTGGTGTGAGACTGGTGGAGGGGTCCTGATACTCTCCAGAAGGTATCCGTCACTGAGACAAGTCCCAGGGAGGATAGTAAGAGAGAACACTGCATGTCAAACTGCCCAAGCTCATTAGAACCTAGAGGGATTGACAGCCATCCTCAGCCCCAATGAGGCTCCTAGTTGCCTGGCTGCCTGGGACAACATTGAACAGTATGAGAAATAATGAATCACTAAGCCTGTGTCTGTCGCACTGCCTGCCTGCCATTCTCCATCCTAGAAAGAGAGAGAGAGAGAGAGAGAGAGAGAGAGAGAGGAGAGAGAGAGAGAGAGAGAGGAGAGAGAGAGAGAGAGAGAGAGAGAGAGAGGAGAGAGGAGAGAGAGAGAGAGAGAGAGAGAGAGAGAGAGAGAGAGAGAGACACTGCAGACAATAATATTTAGTTGAGGCTGTTGGAATTGCTTGCTAATAAAATGACAGTAAAACTTGGTGTCTTAAAGGACATATTTGGATTTACTGTAGGACATTACGTTACATATAATAACAGCATATCTCATTGGGTGACTATGTCTGTATACTTATACACTATTAAGGAATACTGTCATGTCTTCACCAGCAGTAAGTTACAGTCTACAATGCAGTTTTACAATGTGTTTCACAGTAAGAACCATTGCTCTTTGCAATGTCTGGACATTTACTGATATCTAGTGGTAAAGTACTGTTCTCACAACACAGGTGCTAGTAGGCATGTCACTAGTTTGATCAATTAAAAAATGTCACTCTAGTCTGTACAGTGTATTTCCTAATAGATATTTGAAAGGTGACAGCTGCATATTTACTATATACAGTGAGGGAAAAAAGTATTTGATCCCCTGCTGATTTTGTATGTTTGCCCACTGACAAAGAAAGTATCAGTCTATAAATTGAAGGGTAGGTTTATTTGAACAGTGAGAGACAGAATAACAACAACAAAATCCAGAAAAACGCATGTCAAAAATGTTAGAAATTGATTTGCATTTTAATGAGGGAAATAAGTATTTGACCCCCTCTCAATCAGAAAGATTTCTGGCTCCCAGGTGTCTTTTATACAGGTAACGAGCTGAGATTAGGAGCACACTCTTAAAGGGAGTGCTCCTAATCTCAGTTTGTTACCTGTATAAAAGACACCTGTCCACAGAAGCAATCAATCAATCAGATTCCAAACTCTCCACCATGGCCAAGACCAAAGAGCTCTCCAAGGATGTCAGGGACAAGATTGTAGACCTACACATAGTCACCAAGAAAACAATTGGTAACACACTACACCGTGAAGGACTGAAATCCTGCAGCGCCCGCAAGGTCCCCCTGCTCAAGAAAGCACATATACAGGCCCGTCTGAAGTTTGCCAATGAACATCTGAATGATTCAGAGGAGAACTGGGTGAAAGTCAGATGAGACCAAAATGGAGCTCTTTGGCATCAACTCAACTCGCCATGTTTGGAGGAGGAGGAATGCTGCCTATGACCCCAAGAACACCATCCCCACCGTCAAACATGGAGGTGGAAACATTATGCTTTGGGGGTGTTTTTCTGCTAAGGGGACAGGACAACTTCACCGCATCAAAGGGACGATGGATGGGGCCATGTACCGTCAAATCTTGGGTGAGAACCTCCTTCCCTCAGCCAGGGCATTGAAAATGGGTCGTGGATGGGTATTCCAGCATGACAATGACCCAAAACACACGGCCAAGGCAACAAAGGAGTGGCTCAAGAAGAAGCACATTAAGGTCCTGGAGTGGCCTAGCCAGTCTCCAGACCTTAATCCCATAGAAAATCTGTGGAGGGAGCTGAAGGTTCGAGTTGCCAAACGTCAGCCTCGAAACCTTAATGACTTGGAGAAGATCTGCAAAGAGGAGTGGGACAAAATCCCTCCTGAGATGTGTGCAAACCTGGTGGCCAACTACAAGAAACGTCTGACCTCTGTGACTGCCAACAGGGGTTTTGCCACCAAGTACTAAGTCATGTTTTGCAGAGGGGTCAAATACTTATTTCCCTCATTAAAATGCAAATCAATTTATAACATTTTTGACATGCGTTTTTCTGGATTTTGTTGTTGTTATTCTGTCTCTCACTGTTCAAACAAACCTACCATTAAAAATTATAGACTGATCATTTCTTTGTCAGTGGGCAAACGTACAAAATCAGCAGGGGATCAAATACTTTTTTCCCTCACTGTACATGTATTACGTTATTTGGGTAAAAGCTGCTATGACAAGATAAGACTGTTACTAATACATGTTTGTGTTAGAGCACTCATTATTGTGGGTTGGTACAATACACACAACTGGGTTTCTGCCAGGATGCAGAGGGAAATGTGATAGTTCTGGTTTTGGTTTCATTTCCTGGAATATGAAAACTTCATTGTGGGTCACGTGCCTTTAAAAATCAGTATAACCTGTCCCTTGAGCCACAACCCAGTTAACCTGCTTGATGTATTCTAGCCTTAACCAAGACAGAATAGCACACTGAGTGATACATAATAATGGAATACAGCTTGTCTCTCCTGGAGGAACAACTATCTTGTCCCGTGTGTTGTGACATATTCAGCAATCCTGTGGTCCTCAAATGCAGCCACAACTTCTGTGAGGAGCGTCTACGGAAATACTGGAAGGACATGGAGATTTTCCTATGTCCTGTATGCAGGAAAGAGTGTTCTACTGATGAACCGAGCTGAAGTTTGGCCTTAAAGAGTCTCTGTGAATCGTTCCAGAGAGGGAGTGAAAAGGAGAAAGGATCTCAGGATAACTGCCAGCATGGAGAGAAACTCAAACTCTTCTGTTTGAATGACAAACAGCCCATCTGTGTTGTCTGTCACATATCAAAGAAACATAAAGGCCATGACTGCTATCCCATTGGGGAGGCTGTGCCTGATTTGAAGGTCAGTTTGTGAAAGTATTTGTTCACTTTGCTTTTATTTTAACTGGTCATTTCAATCCCATTATGTGACTGAGTAGAGAGTGACTGGCTGGATTAAAGACTGGTTTGTGTAACATACATTCCTGATTTAGTTTTACTAGGTTTACAAAAATCACTTTTAATTTAACTTTAGAGTGAAATCCAGCATATGGATTCCACTTTGAAGAAGGAATTAGAAAACATGAACACAGCCAAGATGTGCCATCAAACCTGGGAGGAGCATATACAGGTATCTGTCATAAAAATAAATGTTTTTTTTAAATATAGAAACATTTGAGCAGTGTTCAAGTTTAATCTTGTCTATTAGGGTCAAGCCCAGCATAGAGAGGAGCAGATAAGGGAGGAGTTTAAGAAACTCCACCAGTTCCTGGAAGAGGAAGAGACAGCCAGGATAGCTGCTGTAGTATCTGAACAATTTATAATTTTGGCTGACGTTTGCAAATGGTGTGATAGATTAACTTTACTCTGCTTTGCTGAAACATCTGGAAAGCATTACTACAGGGGCTCCTTGGAATAGAGGACATTTGGAGATATGTGGAGGCCAGGGATTGGTCTATCAAAAACCACCCATCTTATGTTACATAGGATAAATACCATGTTTCAACAAAGGACGGGGAGAATAATCATTTTTAGATTGGGTTAGTTGTTCTCCGGATTTCTGCAGAAATCTGTAAATTGACGCTGGAACCTTTGATATAATAAACCTTTATAATCAGGTACAGTGTCAGCGGATTTCTTGTCTACACAGCATATCAGCATCGTTGTCCTGACACCACACTGCCCTGAGAAAGGAAGCGAAACAGAAATGTGAAGTGATGCGAGAAAGAGCTGAGCCGTTGACCAAGGAGATTTCAACCCTAATAGAGACTATTCAAATGATCAAGGACATGGAAGTTGACAATATCACATTCCTTCAGGTAAGGGTAAAGACTTTTTAAATGACAAAGATGTAAATTCCCAACATGATCTCATGAACTCACTGCAAAAACTGATGTTCGTCCAAAAGACGCAAGCTTCACACTGCTAGGCTGCAGTCAAATATCATATAACGCCTTGCAATTCACAACCAGGTTGGAAATTGCTGGTGAATAATTTCACAACTGTAAATGTGTTATTCCTCTGTGAGTTTTTTCTAAATTATCTCAGTATCATCTGATATAACATAGTGACATATGTCCTACTTTTTGTAGAATTACAAGGCCATACTTAATAGGTACGTTGTAAGTTATGTCCCATTTCATTCCTACTAAATACATGTTACGCTCCATTTACAACAGCACTGATGTTTAATTATTCCCATAGAGCTGAATCCACACCAACAGACAGATGCTGAGATAGTGTCAGGAGCATTCATTGACATAGCCAAGCATGTGGGATCTCTGAAATTCAAGGTCTGGAAGAAGATGTTTGGGATCGTTTACTATAGTAAGTCCAAGTTTTTCACAAATGTTTTTTTTTTTATCTTGAATATTTTACTGTAGCAAATAAATGTATTTTTCAATAGTTATTTGAAATAGTTTTATCTCCCAACACACCCACACACTTCAGTATTAAGGTACAATATTAAAGTACAATAAACTTTCCCCTTAAGCTTCAGTGACCATGGATCCAAACACAGTGTCTGCAAGGCTCATACTGACACATGACCTGACCACTGTGATGTACAGTGAGGAGAGGCAGAACCTTCCAGAAAATCCTGAGTGGTTTAAAATGGGAGTGTTGGGTTCTGAAGGGTACAGTAAAGGCAGACATTTTTGGGATGTAGAGGTAGGAGAAAGTGATAACTGGACCCTGGGAGTAGCCAAAGAGTCAATTGTGCGCAACAAGCCACTCAAAATGGAGCCTCAGAGTGGATTGTGGAGCATCAGATATATTAGTGGGAAATATAGAGTATGTGTAAAACCTTGCATCCAGGTCAAGGTGGATGAGAGCCCACGAGTGATCAGAGTACGTCTGGACTGTGACAAGGGGGAGCTGACATTCTGCGATCCCACTAAGGGCACTACTCTGTACACATTCAATGATACATTCACTGAAAAAGTGTTCCCATACTTTTACAGTACCAATCAGTTTGTCCCACTGCGCCTTTTGTCAGTTAGCCCCAACTTTCATTGGCAAAATATAAACGAGTGGAGACAGGTAGCCAGGTTTATAATATTTGGGGACAAATATCTACTAACATGCTAACTAGTTTACGTATCAACTGGAGGGACCCCATTGAGTGAGCTTTAGTTGAATCCAGCTCCATGCAAATAGCTGTAAGACTTGCCTCAACACAAAGCATACTATAGGTATAAGTAGTGTAATTTAATTGATGCCAATAGAATGCATATATACCTCCTATATAGTAACAACTTTCTATGTCATAATTATTGTAAGAGTGTTTAAAGCAGTTGTTACAGTATGTAAAATATGTAAAGTACAGTGTCAATAATCTAAATAAATATGTTATGTTTCTATTGCATTTCATGTTGTGCTTTTTTATTTAACTGAATGGACCTTCCTAATTATTTAAATGAGTTTAATTAATTACTCATTTACACATTACAAAATAAATTCAATTTGCGACCATTGCATATATTCACCACTAGATGGGTATCTCCAACTACCGGTATACGGTGGAGACCACTGTTGCTCAATGCCACATTGTAAAATGGGCATACAGTCAAAGAGCGGGCCTACAACAAAAAAAGTAAACATCAATGGCGTAAATACATCCCACGGCTATGACATTTTCACATTCAAATAGTAGTGCTCAAGGCATGACAACTCATTAGTGAAACATTACTTTTAATTTGAATACATTATTTGTTTACAAAGTCAACAATGACAACAAACACAAACAATGGAGTAACATTCTAGTACCACCAAATAATGAAACCAATGTGAACACAAAGTGGAACTGGTGATAAAGGGTTAAAGAATGGTCTGTCTGGCTCCACCCCTATAAGGCTGTGTCACACCATAACAGGAAGAAGGAAGTCAAAACAGCTCTTGGCGACGCAGATAAAAGAAGAGCTTTACGTGTCTTTGGTGGCGGTTCCCTGTAGATATCAGGTGAGTGTCACCGTAACTTGTGGTATTAAACCACTCCCAAACTAAACATCGACTTGTCCTAGGACCTAGGCATTAAGTATGGCCATTTTGAAGTTCAGACAGTATGTTGTTGAGCCCAAATATCCATATATATTCTGTTGGGTAAAGTAAAAGTAAATACTGTACCTTAGCTTACTGAGGCCATTAGCTAAATAGAACACAAACAAGGGCTGGCTCTGGCTCTGTCTCTGTCTAATGCCTGCAGCACTGTGTCTTCCTTTTCCCTACATTCCCTTCCAAAGGAGGAGTCACTTTCGTGTGAAGAAGGCATGGCCGCCCGATTCTCTCTCCCAGAGGATGACCTCTGTTGCCCTGTGTGCTGTGACGTCTTCAGGGACCCCGTAGTCCTCAAGTGCAGCCACAGTTTCTGTGCAGCCTGCCTACAGCAGTACTGGTCTGGGAAGGGCTCGGGCCGGGACTGCCCTCTCTGTAGGAGGGAGTTTGTGGACGAGCCAGTGGCCAGCCTCACTTTGAAGAACCTGTGTGACTCCTACATCCAGGGGAGTGGCGCGCTCAGGCCTACAGGGGAGCTGTGTGAGCCGGGTGAGCTGTGCTCCCTGCACGGGGAGAGGCTGAAGCTGTTCTGTCTGCAGGACAAGGAGCCCATCTGTGTGGTCTGTCACACCTCCAGGAAGCATAAAAACCATGAGTGCTGCCCGGTGGAAGAGGCTATAGGCGACATTAAGGTAATCTGATGTTGTGATAGACAGCCCTATAAATATAAATGGATCTCTAGCTAGCGTTTTATGAGTTCAGAGATGAACATGAAGGTAAAGGGAAACATGCTGGGAGTTTGAGCTAATCTGTTTTATGCCTCTGCAACTGTTTGCCTTTGAAGAACTGATATGTTTTGTTTACTCTATTCTTAGTCCAATTCTCTCTCTAATGTTCTTTAGGAGGAGATGAAGTCTGTATTTATTTGTTTGCAAGAGAAGAGGGAGGCTTTTGACAAAATGAAGCAAAACTACGAAAATACAGTGACACACATTCAGGTAGTGTTGTTGGTTAGCCATATCATGAAATCAAAATCTCTCGTATGCTAACACACAATCTTAACAAAGGTCTCATTTCAGGTCCAGGCCCGGTTTGCGGCGAAGAGGATTCATGAGGAGTTTGAGAAGCTCCACCATTTCCTCCAAGCTGAAGAGGCTGCTAGGCTTGCAGCTCTGAAAGAGGAGGAGGAGAGTAAGAGTGAGATGTTGAGGCAGAGTATGAGGGAGATGGACAGAACCCTGGCCTCCCTCTCTGACACAATTAGAGCCATGGAGGAGGAGATGGCTTTGGAGGATATCGCTCTCCTTCATGTAAGCTTTTCTACTTGTGTATTATCCGATACATGAACTGAAGGTGCATATCATCAAACTGCCTAAAAACAATGTTTTTTTGTGGGTTTTTTCCCAGAAATGCAAGCAGACAATGAGAAGGTGAGTACATTCCAACCCCTGGTGGTTTCACTGTCTACAGAACATGAAACGATGAGTACTAACTCCTACTTGTTCTGGATGTATAGTGCTCAGTGCATCACACTGCAGGACCCAGTTATGGTCTCGGGAGCACTCATCGATGTGGCCAAGTACTTGGGCTCACTTCAATACAAAGTGTGGGAGAAGATGCAAGGGATTGTTAAATACAGTGAGTACTGAGTACGAGCTGCAGAGTGTTGAACATCACTCGGTGTCAAGACTAGTCTATTTTATTACATGAGACTGAAATGTTAACTTTTGAATCACTTTAAGTGCTTCCTAATGTGTATTGACACAGCAATTACAGTGGTGAGAACCGCTACATCATGGTAACTGGCTGTACTTTCTCCTCAGCTCCAGTGACTCTGGACCCCAACACGGCTGCCCCCTGGCTCCTGCTGTCTGAAGACCTCACCAGTGTGAGGGACAGCGACGACAAACTGAAGCTTCCAGACAACCCCGAGAGGTTCGACCCCGACACGGGCGTACTGGGCTCTGAGGGTTTCAGCTCAGGGAAGCATGTCTGGGACGTGGAGGTTGGAGAAAACAGCGCCTGGGTCCTCGGCGTAGCCAAAGAGTCCATCAAGAGGAAAGAAAAGGTCTCCTCTGTGCTGAAGAATGGATACCTGTCCGTGTACTTTTACCACAAGATGTACTTTGCAGGGACCTCACCCCTGACACGACTCAATCTGAAGAAGAGCCCTCAGAGGATCAGAGTGCAGCTAGACTGGGAGAAGGGGAGAGTGTGCTTCTCTGACCCAACTGACAACACACAGATCTACACTTTCAAACACACATTTTCTGAGAGGGTCTTCCCCTATTTCTGGGTTGGCTGTAAGCAGTGTCCTTTGAGGATTGAGCCATTAGAGGTCTCAGTGAAATCTGTAGATCACACATGATAATGTTATGGAATTTTCTGTCAATCTAAAAAGTGTCTTTCTTGATGTTGATTTTATCTGTCATAAGACAAAATCTAATGGGTAAATAACATTTAAATATCTACCACTCGTTGCCTTTAAATAAACACTGACATTTGATTTTCTAATGGTCAAGTGTTTACATTTATTGTATTGTATTCTGTAGTGTATGGAATAAAAGTTATTGTTTTCTGTGTGGAGTAAAACTAAATAAAAATGGAATATACCAGACTTGCTGTGGTGATCTTTCTTTTATTAGAAAATACTAAGGTAACTTAGTATTTGTCTGTAACATTAGTCGTCATCAATTTCAAATAGTTGGGCTAAACCATTCCTGTAATAAGACCTTTCAAATGGTATCCCCTGAAATCTACAAACGATCTAGTAAGAATATTGTTTGAAGAAGACTTCCAGATCAGTTTTAGGCTTAACTATAAATGCTTTATTTAGTTACTCACCAATCAATACATTTTTACGAGTAAAACCAAACGTGGACAGATTCATTAACCCTGAAACACTGCAAGTTAACAGGTAAAAAGTAAGTTCATGTTCTGCTGATGTATCATGCGATGCAAGTCATTTAGCTAGCAAGTCTGCGCAAATTCGAGGACAGGAGAAAGACGACGAAAGTCATAGGAAAAGTCCCAAAAGCATTCGTATTAATTTGTAACTTTACATTAAATGTCTACTACAAGATATCTCTGTTCGCGTTTTTAGGATTCCAGCAAATTAGATTTTGGTTATGTGATAAGGAGTGTTTTGCTTTTGTTAAAATGATTAGGCTTTTGTCTGACTGGGAATAGGATTGGGACATTTATTTAGTCCTTCAGGTACCATGCTATATCAACATAAACTGACTATTTACCCTCAAAAGATATTGAAGATGACAGACCTTTCATCAAACAAAGGGAGGAAGAGGGGGCCTACAACCGTGATCACAGAGGCCTCGCCAAAATCTGCCAAGGTCAGCTTCCTCACTCCTTTACTGGTCATGGAGGTCCCTTCTGACACCAACACCAGTCTGCCAGTGTGGGACGCCATGCACTCCCAACAGGTGGACGTCGTCTGGACTGTGACACCATACAGTATCAATGTCCGCATCACGCCTCTCCAAGTCAGGGCAGACTACTAGTACCAGCAATACTCCTATCTGTTCTTCTGGCAAAAGCAGCAGCACCACCAGGATCATCCATACATCATCAGGCCCATCCTCAGCCCTAAGCCAGACCCAAATGATCATCCAACCTCTACCACAACAAATGACCCCAACCAAAAGCACCCCCAGTGTGCTCCTCATCTTTCCTCAAAGCACCCTCTTTCCTCAACCTGGAGCGGTTACCATCTCGCCTCACAAGCCCCAGAATATGGCACCAGGCCCAGTCAAAACCACCTCTCTCATCCTCCCCCTGCCTGTCATCATCACCCAGCCCCAGCCTGTCCACCAACCTACCACCCCACCCCACCCCAGCCCAAACCCAAGCCACTAGCACTAATCAGTCCCCTGGTCCATCCAAGACAGCAGTCAGTCTGCCCTTCCACACAAACACCTCAGGCGACATCCAGATCTGCGACCACTTTCTCACTTACTTCTGCTGGATGGGGAGCAAGTGCAAGCAGCACCACACGCCGTACCCCTTCCACTGGCAGCTGTGGTGCGTCAACAGTCACCAGTGGGTAGACTTCACCCCGCACGCCCAGGTTAAACTAGAGAGGGCCTACTGCAATGTAAACCGGGAAGAGATTGGAGTCAAGGAAGGGTGAGTAGTACAGGTAGTAGATGTAAATAATAAAACACTGTCCCTCAGTCCTCAAAGTCTGAGATTTCCATGCTTGTTTTTCCTCATAATTCCACCGAGTGGTGCAGCGGTCTAAGGCACTGCATCGCAGTGCTAGAAGCGTCACTACAGACCCAGGTTCGATCCCGGGCTGTATCACAACCGGCCGTGATCGGGATTCTCTCTCCCATAGGGCGACGCACAATTGGCCCAGCGTCGTCCGGGTTAGGGGAGGGTTTGGCCGGGGTAGGCTGTCATTGTAAATAAGAATTTGTTCTTAACTGACTTGCCTAGTTAAATAAAGGTTAAAATATATATATACAATGGGGGAAAAAAAGTATTTAGTCAGCCACCAATTGTGCAAGTTCTCCCACTTAAAAAGATGAGAGAGGCCTGTAATTTTCATCATAGGTACACGTCAACTATGACAGACAAAATGAGAAAAGAAATTCCAGAAAATCACATTGTAGGATTTTTAATGAATTTATTTGCAAATTATGGTGGAAAATAAGCATTTGGTCAAAAACAAAAAGTTTCTCAATTCTTTGTTATATACCCTTTGTTGGCAATGACACAGTTCAAATGTTTTCTGTAAGTCTTCACAAGGTTTTCACACACTGTTGCTGGTATTTTGGCCCATTCCTCCATGCAGATCTCCTCTAGAGCAGTGATGTTTTGGGGCTGTCGCTGTGCAACACGGACTTTCAACTCCCTCCAAAGATTTTCTATGGGATTGAGATCTGGAGACTGGCTAGGCCACTCCAGGACCTTGAAATGCTTCTTACGAAGCCACTCCTTCGTTGCCCGGGCGGTGTGTTTGGGATCATTGTCATGCTGAAAAAACTTCTGAAGGCACTGTATATCATCAAAAAGCTATATCCCAATATGTAACTGTATCAAATGTTTTCCCCATCACTAGCACGGATGTGTTCACCCTGCACTTTGACACCATGACGTTAATGGACGGGGAGAAATACGATCAGGTCAGAAGACTCCAGAACACCACCGACCCAACCAAGAACCCTCACCTCTACACCAGGTGGTGTTTCTTCTGGTGGAATAACCTCAGCTAGACAAAGTACAAAGATGTGAGTGCTTCAAACCTCTCTCTCATACCCTTAGATTTTCACTGAACTTTCACTATGGCTGAATGTGTTTTGTTCATTGCAAAATATAATTCCCTCACAAATGGTCACCTCTCATGTTGAGCGATGTAGGCTTTGACTTACCGGGTTGTCTTGTTGTTAAGGATGTGTCCAAGATCCTTCTGGACAAGATGGATGCTGGGAAGCTGGAGTGTCGTTTCCACATCTTAGAGGTGGAATACAAGGTGGACTTCATCAGTATGATCCAGACCAACGTCACCACAGGGTTTCAGCGGGCCATCCGATGCAGACCCTACTACCGTTCCCTTAAGTCTCTGAGAACACATTTGAGGTACGCGTCCATGTTTTGTTTTAACCTTCAGGTGGTTGATTGGTTCAGGTACCTTCCTTTCTAGGCTCTTTTAAACTGTGTTCAATTATCTTAAATCTCATTTACATGCACTTGTTTATGTTATACACTGCATGCTCGTCAAACATCTCATTCCAAAATCATGGGCATTAAAATGGAGTTGGTCCCCCCTTTGCTATAACAGCCTCCACTCCTCTGGGAAGGCTTTCCATTAGATGTTGGAATATTGCTATGGGGACTTGCTTCCATTCAGCCACAAGACCATTAGTGAGGTCGGGCACTGATGTTGGGCGATTAGGCCTGGCTCGCAGTCGGCGTTCCAATTAATCCCAAAGGTGTTCGAAGGGGGTTGAGGTCAGGGCTTTGTGCTGGCCAGTCAAGTTCTTCCAAACCGATCTCAACAAACCATTTCTGTATAGACCTCGCTTTGTGCATGGGGGCATTGTTATGCTGAAACAGGAAAGTCCTTCCCCAAACTGTTGCCACAAAGTTGGAAGCACAGAATCGTCTAGAATGTCATTGTATGCTGTAGCGTTAAGATTTCCCTTCACTGGAACTAAGAGGCCTACCTCGAAACATGAAAAGCAGCCCCAGACCATTATTCCTCCTCCACCAAACTTTACAGTTGGCACGATGCATTCGGGCATGTAGCGTTCTCCTGGCATCCGCCAAACCCAGATTCGTCCATAGCACTGTCAGATGGTGAAGCGTGATTCATCACTCCAGAGAACGCGTTTCCACTGCTCCAGAGTGCAATGGCGGCGAGCTTTACACAACTCCAGAGGCAGTTTGGAACTCGGTAGTGAGTGTTGCAACCGAGAACAGGCAATTTATATGCGCTTCAGCACTCGCCGGTCCCGTTCTGTGAGCTTGTGTGGCCTACCACTTCGCAGCTGAGCCATTGTTGCTCTTAGACGTTTCCAATTCACAATAACAGCAGTTACAGTTGACCAGGGCAGCTCTAGCAGGGCAGAAATTTTACAAACTGACTTGTTGGAAAGGTGGCATCTTATGACAGTGCAACGTTGAAAGTCACTGAGCTCTTCAGTACGGGCCATTCTACTGCCAATGTTTGTCTATGGAGATTGCATGGCGATGTGCTCGATTTTATACGCCTGTCAGCAACAGGTGTCGCTGAAATAGCTGAGGCACTAATTTGAAGGGGTGTCCACATACTTTTGGTCATGTAGTGTATCTCATAATTGGGGCCAGGAGAAATTCTCCACTCTTTTTTTTTCTAACCAGTAGTTCTGTCCTACAGCACCAAAAGGTTGACAGTGTCATCTCAAGCCACCTGTTGGCATTTAGACCCTAAAGGGGATGCACCTGTGTAAAACGACTAACCATGACTAACCATGTGTTCATTATGTTGAAATGTATTTGAAAGAGGCTGTATTGTCACCAGTAAAATGATTGAGCTGCAGGTTAATGTCATAGGTCAGGTGGTAGAGAATTTTTCAGGGTCCTACTCGTAATGCTGGAATCACACCATATTAGTTCTACTTCATCAATAATAACATCAACTACATTCACTAAAACAATAATCTACTTGTCTTGTATAGGACAGGTTTCCTGCTGGATTGTCTGGCCGGCACATCCACTGAGCCTTCCCCGGCTAACTTCAGTGTAGACCCCCTGGAGGAGTTCAGCACCTGGTACCCCCCAGTGTGGACCCCTAGCCCCACCCCAGACCAGGACTACAGCATGGTGGAGGTGCCAGCCAGCACCCAGGCCTTCCAGAAGGTCCACAGCCTCTTCCACAAGACCCTGTTAGAGACCCGGGTGGAGATAGTCAGCATCCACCAGATCCAGAACGTCCTCCACTGGGACAAGTTCCAAAGGTGTGGGTGGGGACTCCCTCTGTCCCTCTTTGATATGGATTCTATCTTTGTCAGAATACCCAATTATTTTCCTCATGTACTGTATATGACTGTCATGTGGGAATGGGATAAAGGAAAGGAAAAAGGTTGATAACATGGTGCAACGTTACATCACACAACAGATCAACATAATTGTATTGATAAGGGTTATCCAAATGAGATGGAGGCGTTTTATTATCCTGCTCCATTTGACCATGAATAAATGTAATACTGATAAAAAAACCTATTAAATTGAAGATGAATACATACATTAGGTGGCATTGTTTGTGTTGTAGGTACAAGGAGCACATGCAGAAGCGCGGCGACACAAAGGAGGACGAGGCTCTGGAGAGGCACCTGTTTCACGGGACCGTCAGGGACTTCATCGAGGACATCTGCCACAACAACTTCGACCCACGCGTCTCCGGAGTCAACGGGTTCACGTACGGCTACGGCTCCTACTTCGCCGGCGACGCCTCCTACTCCAACACATTCGCTGCGGTGTCACCTGACGCCGGGGTGCGTCACATGTTCCTGGCCAAGGTGCTGGTGGGAAAGGTGAGCGTGGGCAAGCGCACATACCGCCGGCTGCCACCCGTCAGATCCACGAAGGAGGACTACAACCTGTACGACACCTGTGTGGACCAGCTGGTCAACCCCACCATCTTTGTAGTTTTTGACCGGTGCCAGTGCTACCCCTACTACCTGATCAAATACAAAGACCTGCTAGAGGTGGTGGACATCAATGAGTAGGTTTGCCCTGGGGGTGCTAGTGTTGCTGCCTGTGACCGTAACTGTTGTTGTTCACTGGATGTTCATTCCACACCAGACCGTACTGCTGCACCTTGCATTAAGGAGAAATACAGCATTAAGAATAGATCAGTCAAAACTGTATCAAACAAAATGTTTATGTGTATCCAGTCCAAAGGGTAATGTTCAAAGCCTTCCAAAAAGACTTGGAGTGTTTTTAGAATAGATGTGTTTTATAAAGCTTTACGATTACGGTTTTTACAGTAAGATAGTTTGTACAACGTCCCATTTTAAAATGGAATTCTAAATGTAACACTAAAACAAGTTTGATCTGCTTTCAAAATGTTTTAACAATCGAAGCAGTTATAGCACTTGGTAATGTAGAAAGAAGAAATTATAAGTTCTAGATATGGCTTTCAAAAAGGTTCTTAATCAACTGTAAAGTCGTTATGTTATTGACAATAAATGGGTTTTACTGAATACATCAGTTACGGTCGTGCCGTTTAAGATTAGGGAGGACAATATTTTTTTCATGAGCATGGCCTTATTTCTATTACAGCATATTGGATGACTGTCATTCATATTCCATTCACCCAGCTCAATGTAACATCGATAGGTTTGGGCTACTACATGATACTCGAATTTGCCCTATACCCATCATGAGGTAGCTACAACCTAGCCTACAAATGAAAAGTTATCATGTACAGCGCCGTGAAAAAGTATTAGCCCCCTTTCTGATTTTCTCTATTTTTGCATATTTTTCATACTGAATGTTATCAGATCTTCAACCAAAACGTAATATTACATGAAGGGAACCTGACTTTACCAATAACCCCCAAAAAGTATACTTATTTTCTTTATTTAATTAACAAAGTTATGCAACACCCAATTCCCCTGTGTGAAAAAGTAATTGCCCCCTTACACTCAATAACTGGTTGTGCCACCTTTACATTTTAGTAATTTAGCAGACGCTCTTATCCAGAGCGACTTACAGTTAGTGAGTGCATACATTTTCATACTGGCCCCCCGTGGGAAACGAACCCACAACACTGGCGTTGCAACATGCTCTACCAACTGAGCTACGACTGCAACCAAATGCTTCCTGTAGTTGTTGATCAGTCTCACATCGCTGTGGAGGAATTTTGGCCCACTCTTGCATGCAGAACTGCTTTAACTCAGCGACATTTGTGGGTTTTCAAGCATGAACTGCTCGTTTCAAGTCCTGCCACAACATCTCAATTGGGATTAGGTCTGGACTTTGACTAGGCCATTACAAATTTCAAATGTGTTGCTTTGTAACCATTTTCATGTAGACTTGATTGTGTGTTTTGGATCATTGTCTTGCTGCATGACCCAACTGCGCTTCAGCTTCAGCTCACAGATGGATGTCCTGACATTCTCGTGTAGAATTCTCTGATACAGAGCAGAATTTAAGGTTGCTTCTATTAAGGCAAGTCTTCCAGGTCCTGAGGCAGCAAAGCATCCCCAAACCATCACACTACCACCACCATGCTTGACCGTTGGTATGAGGTTCTTACTGTGGAATGCAGTGTTTGGTTTTTGCCAGACATATTGTGACCCATCAAGTCTACATGAAAATGGCTAAAAAGCAACAAATTTGAAGTTTTGGAATGGCCTAGTCAAAGTCCAGACCTAATCCCAATTGAGATGTTGTGGCAGGACTTGAAACGAGCAGTTCATGCTTGAAAACCCACAAATGTCACTGAGTTACAGCAGTTCTGCATGGAAGAGTGGGCCACAATTCCTCCACAGTGACGTGAGAGACTGATCAACAACAGGTAGCGTTTGTTTGGAGTCATTGCAGCTAAAGGTGGCACAACCAGTTATTGAGTGTAAGGGGGCAATTACTTTTTCACACAGGGGCATTGGGTGTTGCATAACTTTGTTTATGAAATAAATTAAATAAGTATGTAATTGTTGTGGTATTTGTTCACTCAGGTTCCCTTTATCTAATATTAGGTTTTGGTTGAAGATCTGATAACATTTAGTATAAGAAATATTCAAAAGGTGCAAATAAATGGGTTTTAATGAATACATTCATGCTTCATTACTTCAAAAAACTTACGAGGGGAGTCTTGTTCACTTTACAATAATTTCATTTATTCTATTTACAGTCATATTTCTGAAATTAAATCTAAAAAAATAAATTGTCAGAAAGGTAAGTTATGAATGGAATGCAATTCCCCAAAAGTATCATGTGGTAAAATGTTATATTTCTCTCTTTTATACAAACAAACCCTTTCCCTCTTTCAAACAGTACATCTTGTGAATTAACTTTGTTTCCTGACACTGACACACATAATCAGTGTTTGTCTTTTCTGGACAGGAATCAAACGCATCCTGCAGGTTCCCCGGGAATGTTCCTAATCGTCCAAGAACAATAATCACAGTCCTGGACAGAAGTGTCTCTATAGCGCATCCATCCAGCTGAAACTTTAATCAAGGGTGACTTTTTCATGGTGCAAAAAATACTGTAAAAGTAATAATCTGGCATTGTTATGTAATTTGAAACTTTTCTTCAGCAACGAGCATTGTAAAAAAAAAAAAAGCCCACTATTTATGCATTTTTCAAGGTACTAAACTCTACTTAAATAACTTTTTATGGTCACCTTTTTATTTATTTTTGCACAGATTTGAACTATTTTGCACCTTGAAAATGTTGCCCCAAAAGTAATTTCCCACGTCTAGTTTTGATTTACATTTGGTTTAGTTGTCAACTAATGTGAATTAAAAGTGAAATCAACCAAACATTTCACCCGGCCATTGGATTTAAAAGTTGGGTATAAAAAAAGACTAAATTCCCTTACGATTTGAGAAAATGAATTGCAATTTTTAAAGGAACCGGTTAACTTTGTCTTTTAGCAAGCTAGGTCTTTTTATTTTGTCTAAATTTGCACTAAGAATGGCATAATCAAGTTATCCAATCAGTGTTACATGTTGATTCAAAGTCATCACCTAAAATTTTGGGGTTCAAATGACGTGGAAACAACGTTGATTCAACCAGTTTTTGCCCAGTGGGTTCTCAATGACTTCATGGTACAGTGCAAGTGTAGTCTGCTGAACAGAGTAACACTTCCAGTTACAGTACATTTTTTATTTGACCTTTATTTAACTAGGCAAGTCAGTTAAGAACAAATTCTTATTTACAACGACGGCCTACACCGGCCAAACCCGGACGACGCTGTGCCAATTGTGCGCCGCCCTATGGGACTCCCAATCATGGCCGGTTGTGATACAGCCTGGAATCGAACCAGGGGGGTCTGTAGTGAAGCCTCAAGCACTGAGATGCAGTGCCTTAGACCGCTGCGCCACTTGGGAGCCCATATAAAATGTAGTGTTATTATTCAATCTGCTGTCATTTTAAATGGGTAGACAAATTTGGCATATAATGTAGACTGAGTACAGGGCAACTGAATATTCCTCCATTGTTTGGATTGCTCTTTTGTATTCCACACATTGAAATGACATTTAGGCTGACATTTCATGATATTTGAAAATGAGCAGTATGTCCAAACATTAAGGCAAAACTTATAGAACACTATAATAAAATCCTTTCATTGTGCTTGCTGAGCAACTCTATTGACTTTCCCGTGAGGTTTTAACAGTGACATGGGGCTAAGACATCACAAAATGACATGTACAAAGGAATTGCAATAAGAAATGTTCTGTTCCAAACTCCTCGGAATGCTACTGAGATACGTTAGTAAAAGTGTTTTTAAAACAAGAAAATAGAAAACAGATGAGACCACATTAGATGGATATGCATGACTTCAAGACTTTCTGATATGCAAATCAATTTGATTACGAGAAATTAAAAACGAGGAAGAAAATAAAAAAGGGTTGAAATCGTTTTTTAACGGTACAATGATTAAACATCTTGATGCTGCAAAATGGCTGGAAACAAAAGCAATGTGACCATTTGAAGACAGTGAGTTGAATTTTAGGATATAGAACATAACAATTGCAGTTGGTCAAAAGAATTGCACAACAGTGATTGTGGAAGGCAACAGAATGTAAAATGGAGTAGAATAACTATTGGAATCAACATTAAAGGCACCTTTAAAAACATCTGCTAAAAACGAAATACTCATAAGTCCATTAGACATGATTTGAGGCCTATAAAACATTCAATTCTGATATAAATCAAAGACACCATCCCCTGTGACCAGGTCTAGTCTGTGTTAGAAGTCCTGTCCCTAACAGGAAGTGTCCACGACAGTCTGGTCTTTGATGCTTGGTGTCCTTTTTCCCTTTCAATCAATTTCAATACACATAAAATCACTAATATACACAGATAAAGCAAAAAAAGCAATACAAACTAATTGAAACAGAACTACAGATAAATACAAATAAAAACAAAGGCGCCTTGATGATTTGTTTCCCTTTGCGGATGGTCATTTAATTGTTCTGCTGACAAGGAAAAACCCTATATCCTCTGCCCAAATCCATTTGCTTTTGTCCTCTCTCTCTCTCTCTCTCTCTCTCTCTCTCTCTCTCACACACCCACTCTCTTCATCCGCTCTCCAAGTCAGCGTGATTCAGGTGCTGTGATTGGACGTACCACATAGGGGTGAGAGGTCATAGTTCATGATTATTTCCATAGTGGCAGACTGCTGGTGAGCTGACCGCTGACTGTACAAGGAAGGCGCTGAGTCCTGTGAGGGGGGAGGTGGAGTGGCGGGTGTTGTGGAGTTGACATTGTCCTGGAGGGGGAGGGAGTGGGTTGAAAAGGCCATGGAGGGAATGGCGAGTTAGGAGTCGTGATGGGGTTGGTCACTCGCAGGCCAGTTTGCTGTCGAAACTGGACAGGCCAATAGCGAAGGCTTGCAGGGCACACATGGGGTAGTTGTAGTCTAAGGTGAATACGTCCTCGGCCACTCTGCCAAACTGCATCACGATGTAGTCCGCTGAGGGAAGAGAGAAGAGATGATTCAATAATGTGAAATCATTATTCCATTCTACCCAAGGAGCGAGAGAGAGAGGGAGGGAGAGAGGAGAAATAGAGAGAGTGTGAAAAAGAGAAAGAGGAAAGAAAGAGTCGAGAGAAGCACTGACGGATCGACTCACGGTCGTTGTCGTGGACGATCTGAAAGTTCTTGACGGAGGCCTGTGTCACGCGGCCGTGGAAATTGAGCACGTAGGACTGGGTGTCGTCATTCCACACGGGGGCCTTGTTGTGCAGCTCGATCAGGTTCTCCAGTGAGTGGTTCTGCCACTTACTTAGAAGGCTCTCCTGCTCCTGGAAACACACACAGCCAACAGGGTCGTATTCATTAGGCACCAAACGGAAGAAATAGGACTGAAACAGGGAGGGACAACCTTGACTTGTCCAATAAGAACGCTCAATTTAGTTTCCCGTTGCAAAGCGTTTTAAAAAAGGTTTTCCATTGCGTGCCCTAATGAATATGACCCAGACATCCAAACCATCTGATCTGACGTCACTGACCAGTGACCACACATCTCACAGCCCTTAGTGGGTTAGCCTCAGTTTCCATTACATTGTTGACTTCAATGCTCACTCCATTATTCATTATTATTTTGCTATTTCAAGTTGTAAGAATGCCAGAGTCTTAAATCAATCATGCCCTCTGACACGCCCCTCTCCCTTCCTGTGCATAACAAGAACAGTGACTACAAGTGTTAGGAGAAGTGCATAGAATTGTTCAGTCCCCTGGGACTGATACGTACGCTGTTTGGGCGGACAGGGGACCCTCTCAAAGTTAATGTTCATGCCTGGGATGATGACGGTCATCTTGCGGGGACCTTTGAACCCCAGAACGTTGGTCTCCTGTAGAGAGAACACAGGAGATCAGAATGTCACACAACCTGACAGGGTTCAATTATATTAGTGTGTGTGTGTGTGTGTGTGTGTGTGTGTGTGTGTGTGTGTGTGTGTGTGTGTGTGTGTGTGTGTGTGTGTGTGTACACTCACATAGCAGATGGCTGCGAGTTCCTGTCGTGTGTTGCTCTCCTCCAGCAGAGCTCCAGGGTTCTTACAGGGGTTGGTGCCGTGGTCATACACCGTGAACTTGGTCCCCATCAGGTTGGACCTGCAGGATGACCAGACCAATCACATTAGAGTCTACAGTGTCCCTCCAGCACTCACAATCCCACTTCACACCCAATAGGGTTATCAGATGCAGCCGAGGGCTCAAAACAATATGGAAATTGTTTATCAGCAAGGACTTAGAATTATATTTAGCAGAGTTGTGACAGAGTGAGATATGGTTGTCACGCCCTGGCTCTGGGGACACTGTTATGTTGAGCCAGGGTGTGTAGATCTATGTTCCCTATTTCTATGTTGGCCTGAGTGACTCCCAATCAGAGGCAACGAGTGTCAGCTGTTTGCTGGTTGTCTCTGATTGGGAGCCATATTTAAACTGTCGGTTTTTCCTTTGGTTTTGTGGGTTCTTGTTTCAAGTTGGTTTAGTTTGACCGTGAACTGTCACGTTACCGTCTTTGTTGTTTTGATCGTGTTTACGCTCAATAAAGAGTATGTTTGCCTGCAACGCTGCGCCTTGGTCCTCATCTGTTCCTGACGATCGTAACAGAAGAACCCACCAAAACTGGACCAAGCAGCGAGTCGAGGAGCCATCACCAGGGAAATCCCTAGCAGATCTCCGTGGCAGCCTCGACTGGGTCAAGCCGAGTGAAGAGCGGAGAGAGTGGACTTGGGAACAATGGATTAAGAGTCTCGACTGGGCCAAGCCAAGTGAAGAGCAGAGAGGTTGGACTTTGAAGCAGTGGGGTGAGAGTCTGGCGAGAACTAGGGAGGCCTGGTCCACGGGGAGGAGAGAACCCCAGAAAATTTTTAGGGGGGGGCTCACGACGTGGACGACGGGGCAGCAGGATGCCGCGATGGAGCGGTCCAGCGGGTGTGCAGAGGAGGCCGCCAGGTTAAGGGGGCCACTGGTCACAGAGGAGAGGGAAAGTGTGGAGGCACGGCGAGAGGTACTGGGGTGTGTTACCAGTCCGGTCCGGCCCGTTCCTGATCCCTGCGTAGGGCCAGTGGTGTGTGTCCCCAGTACGGTCCGGCCTGTTCCTGTTCCTCGCATCGAGCCTGTGGTGCGTGTCGTCAGCCCGGCCCGGCCTGTTCCTGCTCCCCGCACCAAACCTATGGTGCGCGTCGCCAGCCCGGTCCGGCCCGTTCCTGCTCCCCGCACCAAATCTGGGGTGCGTTTCGTCAGCCCTGTCCGGCCCGTTCCTGCTCCCCGCACCAAGCCAATGGTGCGCGTCGCCAGCCCGGCCCGGCCTGTTCCTGCTCCATGCACCAAACCTGTGGTGCGCGTCGCCAGCCCGGTCCGGCCTGTTCCTGCTCCCCGCACCAAATCTGTGGTGCGTTTCGTCAGCCCTGTCCGGCCCGTTCCTGCTCTCCGCACCAAGTCTGTGGTGCGCGTCGCCAGCCCGGTCCAGCCTGTTCCTGCTCCCCGCACCAAGTCTGTGGTGCGCGTCGCCAGCCCGGTCCGGCCCGTTCCTGCTCTACGCATCAAGTCTGTGGTGCGCGTCGCCAGCCCAGTCCGGCCCATTCCTGCTCCACGCACCAAGCCAGGGGTGCGTATCGTCAGCCCGGTCCGACCAGTTGCTACTCCACGCACCAAGCCAGGGGTGCGCATCGTCAGCCCGGTCCGGTCCGTTCCTGTTCCACGCACCAAGCCAGGGGTGTGTATCGTCAGCCCGGTCCGGTCCATTCCTGCTCCACGCACCAAGCCAGGGGTGTGTATCGTCAGCCCGGTCCGGCCAGTTGCTACTCCACGCACCAAGCCAGGGGTGCGCATCGTCAGCCCGGTCCGGTCCGTTCCTGTTCCACGCACCAAGCCAGGGGTGCGTGTCGTCAGTCCGGCTCCGGCCAGCGGGGCCAGACCGGACCAGGGGTACTTTGGGGGGTTGGAGAGGAAGTGGGGATCGGGCCCAGAGCCGGATCCGCCGCCAAGGCGGAGTGCCCACCCGGTCCCTCCCCTGTGGTATGTAGTTGGCTCGGTCGGAGTCCGCGCCTTTAGGGGGGGGGTACTGTCACGCCCTGGCTCTGGGGACACTGTTATGTTGAGCCAGGGTGTGTAGATCTATGTTCCCTATTTCTATGTTGGCCTGAGTGACTCCCAATCAGAGGCAACGAGTGTCAGCTGTTTGCTGGTTGTCTCTGATTGGGAGCCATATTTAAACTGTCGGTTTTTCCTTTGGTTTTGTGGGTTCTTGTTTCAAGTTGGTTTAGTTTGACCGTCCTACCTCAGTTTCCCCATGAAGCTCTCTCCCTCGCGTGACAGGTCCGTGGCGTCCACTGAGATCAGGTAGTTGGACGTCTTGCTCTTTTTCCTCTTCCTCCCAGCCAGCAGAAACAGCTGGGTGAAACAGAGAGTAAACTCAGGGTGAGAGGGAAACTCACAAACCATCATTTTAATCACCATCAAAAAAGGCGTTACTTTTCCTTGATATTCTCATACCATTTCAAATGTAGCTATTAAGGAAAATAAAATTAAACAGGCCCGTGGAATAAGATGGTAAAAGAAACCTATCTTGACTGTAAATCTATCTAGGTGTCGTCTCCATGTTAATCCACCATGACAGGATGTGAGGTCATACGTACCTTCCTGCCGTCCTCTCTCTCCAGGTGCATAAAGTAGGTGGGGTACAGGCCGCGGTCCATTCCCTTCTTGTCCCGGGATATGCGGCACTTGACGGTGACGCCGCGGGGGGCGGGACGCACCACAAACTGCTCCAGGTTGTCCACTTCGATCAGGGCGCTCTCCGCCGTGGGCGACCCCGGTGTCACGTACTCCTGAGAGGCGGAAAAAGACACACACTGCTACATCACAAAACATACCGGCCAATCACTGTTATAAAGGAGATACGGTCCAGGAGTACGGGGGACAACATTCATCTGCCATCTTGTTGTTTCAGTGTCTTCATGCATTTCTATGCGTCTTCAAGTGACAACTTTATTTGTCATGTGTAATGAATACATTAGAAGTCTTACTCACAAGCCATAGACACATAGCTATGTAAGTGCGTCTAATGATATGATATGGTTGGACTCACTGTGTTGGACTTGGTGCTGGAGGCAGACGCAGGCCGGGTTGACTCTGTGTTGGGGGACAGCGAGCGGGTCCGGTCTTCATCACCATCTTCCTCACTGGCCTCTTCGTAGTTCATACTGCCTGACAGACCTGGTCAAGGGAGAAAGAATGCGCTATGGGAGATGTGGCCTACATCTTACACGCCATTGGTTGAGATCAGAGGACCCAGGGTTCTATGCAGACAGGAGAGATCATCTCAGATGCCCAGCCAAGCTGAAAACACCTCCATATCTCCTCAGTAATCCCATAGGTTCTTATTGCCATGACTCAAGGAGAGATTTTTTCTCCTGGGACCCAAAGTGATTAGCTTGCATGTAATGGATATGGGCAACATATTTCTTCAAATATATTCAGATTTATTTTTTGATCACATAGCCTTTGATTTGTTCCAACTAAGTCATCATACTACCCCAGTTGAAAATATGAATGATGCAATATTTCTGCAATCGGAAAAGGACATATATTACCAGTATGCAGCTGAAACTGCTCTCTAAAATATTTAGTAGTCCAAAATATCTTTGAGGAGACAGCCTGACCTCAAAACAGCTGGCAGAGGATAGGAAGGAAAGCAGAAGCGAAATAGTGCTGATTAACTGTTGAGACCCATTGAGGAATAACTTTTCTGTATAGAACAGATGAGACTACCCAGTAACCAGGTTACGATAGAAGAGACCTGTTATGAACCTCTAGCCATCCCAGCAGCTTTCATTATGCCCAGACACCACTGTTAGTCGACTACTGAGCCCTGTATATTTCCACATTGGAAAGAATACTGTAAAATACAAGACAATAGATTCTCCATCTTCAATGTGTTTTATCCATCACTGAGAGCTGGTTTCCTGGAACCAGATTAAGCCTTGTACTAAAAGCACGTTTAGCTTTTCAGTCCGGGAGTATTCGGTGTCCGCGAAACCGGCCCTGATAGTCCAATGTAAAGGGGTTAGTTAGGAACGAGGGAAATTAGAGAGATGAAGCAGAAATCGTACTGAGAGCTGCCAGCCAGACAGAACCAGCACGGTGTGATCAGACAGGCCTCTGTGGGAGCTGCTCTGGACAGGTGTCAGTAATGCTGCTAATTGGATTGACCAGCTGTGACTCTGGCTGGTGCTGGCTGGCGCTGTGGAATATTTTAATGAGAAAGCATCTTTTAGGTGCGAAAGTAGAATTCAAAGTGAGCAGGGGAAAAATTTCCGCTCTCAAAGTGTTCCATCGTTGATGATACATGAAATACTAAATGTTATGATGCCAGTTTTTCTTGTAATGTGCATTAAAGTCACTTACTCAGCGTATCTTGAAGCCAGAATATGATATCTAGCACTTTACACCCAATGACTAGGTTATTATCAGTAACTATGTCATTCACTGTTGTTGTATCCTACCTCAGTTTCACCTGTGCTCCATATAGTTAGTGCTGCAGAGAGAGAGAGGAAAGGAGAGAGAGACAGAAACCCAGCAACCTTCACTCCGGCCCCGTAACCATGGGAACGGCAGGCTGCTCTCTACTACCTGACTGGAGTAGTTTCTCTCTGGCAGACAGTGGGCGCTCTGGCCCCTCCTCCGGGCCCTCCTCCAGCCCCTCCTCCACTGCACCTATCAACTGGACCACCCTGCCGCGGGTGGGGTCAGTCAGAGAGGGGGAGGGGCTGAGTGAGATGTCCCACGCCTCTGCGGATAAACGCATATGTATTGGCCAACGTGGCTAGAAACAATATGTACACAGTGGTGTTCACTCCATCTAGCCCCGGAGATGTGTCTAAATGTCAGGGTACTGCCAAACATGAAATACAGATCGTAAATGTCAGCTACACTCTAATAGTGACTCCAAGGCATCAATTAAAACAACACACAAAGTTTTGCAGACTCACTGCTTTTACTAATCAGCCAAATGAAAATGTCAAAGCGTGCTGATAATACAACTTTTATTAAAAAAAAGATAGAGCTCAATGCTCATGTTGTAAATGGGATAATTTCAAACAATCACTTTCTCTCAGTCTCACAGCACATAAAGAACTTTACCCTGGAAACTCACTAACCAGTTTTGATTGAATAGCGTCCCCAAGTCAAATCGAAATGGAGGCAGAAGGCTATTATTAATCCTTTGCCGTTTCCATTTCAATTCGTTTCCACTGGGAAATCAAAAATGCAGCCAGGCAGATAGATTCTATCTAAGGCACCGGAGGACAGGCTGTATCTCAGTAGCACTAAGCAGACCAGACATTCATTCATGATGAAGGTTTGCATTATAGAGAGGGGAGTGTCACCTGCCCTCTTGTTGCTTTCCAGGAGAAGATCCTTAAAAAACGGAGGCTAATGCAGTAATATACTGCCCTTAATCTGTGTCTCAGGTTTAACTAGGTAATACATCTCCCTCCCGGATATAGACCTGGCTATCTTTATTTAGCTTGTCATTTAGCACAGTAACAGTACAAAATGATATTGAATTAGTCTCAGGAAATGAAAGAGACTTCAACACTCATCGTGGACCAGCCAGAAGGAGGTGAGGTGGCATATAGGGGTACTGTGGTAGGTGGATGCTACTCTTGCCTCTTACACGTGATAAAATGATCCATTTCTCACTGCGTCACCATCAATCTCGCCCTCCGCCGGCCGGCTCTATAACTGCACACTGCAGCCCCACAGCCCTGGGAGGAAGTAGTATCCAGAGCAGGGAAAAGGTTTTAGCACTGCGCAATGGCTTTTAACGAGGACAACCGAAAGGACAGCAGCAACAGGTTGTGGACCAGCCAGAAGGAGGTGAGGTGGCATAAATAGGTAATGTGTTAGGTGGATGCTGCTCTTACCTCTTACACATGATAAAATGATCAATTTCTCACTGAGACTGTCCCTGAACAAGGATGTTGACCAGATATGCTCCCACGCTCCAATTTCTCACTAAGACTGTCCCTGAACAAGGATGTTGACCAGATATGCTCCCACGCTCCAATTTCTCACTAAGACTGTCCCTGAACAAGGATGTTGACCAGATATGCTCCCACGCTCCAATTTCTCACTAAGACTGTCCCTGAACAAGGATGTTGACCAGATATGCTCCCACGCTCCAATTTCTCACTGAGACTGTCCCTGAACAAGGATGTTGACCAGATATGCTCCCACGCTCCAATTTCTCACTGAGACTGTCCCTGAACAAGGATGTTGACCAGATATGCTCCCACGCTCCAATTTCTCACTGAGACTGTCCCTGAACAAGGATGTTGACCAGATATGCTCCCACGCTCCAATTTCTCACTGAGACTGTCCCTGAACAAGGATGTTGACCAGATATGCTCCCACGCTCCAATTTCTCACTGAGACTGTCCCTGAACAAGGATGTTGACCAGATATGCTCCCACGCTCCAATTTCTCACTGAGACTGTCCCTGAACAAGGATGTTGACCAGATATGCTCCCACGCTCCAATTTCTCACTGACATGTCCCTGAACAAGGATGTTGACCAGATATGCTCCCACGCTCCAATTTCTCACTAAGACTGTCCCTGAACAAGGATGTTGACCAGATATGCTCCCACGCTCCAATTTCTCACTGAGACTGTCCCTGAACAAGGATGTTGACCAGATATGCTCCCACGCTCCAATTTCTCACTGAGACTGTCCCTGAACAAGGATGTTGACCAGATATGCTCCCACGCTCCAATTTCTCACTGAGACTGTCCCTGAACAAGGATGTTGACCAGATATGCTCCCACGCTCCAATTTCTCACTGAGACTGTCCCTGAACAAGGATGTTGACCAGATATGCTCCCACGCTCCAATTTCTCACTGAGACTGTCCCTGAACAAGGATGTTGACCAGATATGCTCCCACGCTCCAATTTCTCACTGAGACTGTCCCTGAACAAGGATGTTGACCAGATATGCTCCCACGCTCCAATTTCTCACTGAGACTGTCCCTGAACAAGGATGTTGACCAGATATGCTCCCACGCTCCAATTTCTCACCTGTCCTCCTTTGCTTTCTTTTTCTTCTCACCCCTGCCTCTCACTCTATCCTGCATTTCTCTCTCTCTCTATCAGTTCAGCCTGTCCTCTCACTAGACTACAAAGTGCCTCTACCAGCCCAGAGGTGTGAAAGTGACACTTATATTGAGTGCCCTGTCTGTGTAGCCGTGAGGCCCGCCAGATCAGCAGACGGGATGTGATCTCTGAAGCTGCTTGGTATTCGTGTGCTGAGGCGACCCAGAGGATTTATCAGGGTAGATGACGCATGTCTATAGCACTACTGCGTATGAGACATTGTCTGTGCTGTGTAGGCCATAGGGTTAGGACTATTTCCTGGTCACATGTTCTGACCATAACTAAGCCCCAGAGTATTTCCTGGTCACATGGTCTGACCATAACTAGGCCCCAGAGTATTTCCTGGTCAGGTAAGGTGTTCAGGAAACCCCCCAGCCTTACCTATTGACAGAACTCTTTAACACTCCACTTTAGCACTCCTAACTTCTGTCCTAACTGGCTGTCCTGACTCCCTGTCTGAACCCTTTCTCAAGGCTCACCTCGTTTCTGCAGCAGCTCGTGGATATCCGTCTTGGGCTCCAGCAGAGTCTCTGTGTCCCCGTCCCGGTCTGGCTCCTCGGCAGGGGGAGACTGGGGCAGCGGCTGGGACAGAGACAGGGGCTGGGACTGGCTCACCGACAGAATCTGGATCTTGTTACCCAGGTCTGGGGCCTCAGAGCCCATGAAGGCAGCAGGGCCGTCGATACCTGCAGGGTGGGGCGCATTCATAAACTTTGTTTTAATGTCTTGAATTATGTTAATGACTTTGTCCTGCTTGTCTGTGTGTTTGAGCACCCAGCTGTCTACTTCTCCAAGAGCTGTCCTGTATTCCTGTGCTTCTATCTGTGCTTCCCTGAGGTGATTTGATTACTTATGCCTTATTACTTAGCCGTCTGCTTGCAGCTGTGTTTCTCTGTAGTACCTCTCCTCTATGTTCATGTCAGAGCTCCTCTTTATAGTTAGCCTTGTGCTATGGAGTGATATGCTGCACTGAGCAGGTGGCTTCAGCTTGCCCTTTTCTTGCCTGGGAGTCTGAATGCTGCTCTGCCTCTCTGAATGTGACTCTCTCCTCCCCATCTGAAGGCCCATCTGGGCATCAGAGAGAACAGCTTCCTGGGTGTCTCCTCCACTACCTTGACTGAGGGAGGCGTTTAAATTAGACACGCACGTGCACGCACGCACACACACACCTCAACGTATTCGTTTCCTGACTGTTTGTAGGAACATTTTCTAACATTGTATCCCAGTATGTGAGAGACTAACATATGCAGCATGCCAATGTACAGGCGATTGGTGTCAGAAGTGGGATGCACCAATGTTTATAATCCTATTCTATATAAGCACTTTTTCTATAGCCTTGTATTTCCTGACTGGTCTATTCTACCTCGATCTGGAAGGCCACTCTGCTCCTCCAGAGTGAGCTCCATGACTGGCCCTCTCCCTGCTTTCCTGGGCAACATGGGGCCTGGCCCCACCTTCTGCCACCACTCCCTCTCACTATCCTCACCTGACGTACTGCCCTCACTCTGGACTGGAAAGAAAATGGATCATTAAAGTATTCTTCTTCATAGCCAACACCAACAACTGTCTATCTCTGACTGTGGACTTGGGTTCAATCACTCAGCACTGCTTCCTTTTTCCCGATCGTGTGATCTGACCCCGGAAAAATTCAGGGACTTCCTGAACAGGAAAAACTCTTGCCCTTAATCATGCTAGCTAGTTCAGTAGCTAACCCCAAGAACCAAGGCTCACCGTCCATGATGACATCGCTGGTGATGCTGAGGCGTGACTCCACTAGCGGGGCCTGCTCATCACTGCGCCGGGGCCTTGAGCGCCTGGGCCGGGCCTCTGGGTTGGGCTGCACCATCAGAGGCTCCTGCCGCTTCCGCCGCTGCTTCTGCTCCAACAGCGCCCTCTTTGGACGGGAGGGGAACAACGACAGTGAGAGTCAGTGACGGGAGTATGGCGTTATACCATGCAAATATTGTCCATCCGTCCCTCCCTGCCCCGGACTGACAGCTGGACTGACAGCTGGTGATAAGGCTCTAGTGATCCTCCTGTATTTGTCCAGGTATATCTGGCCTCTCTTCCCCACAGTCCATGAGGACGCCATCCCTTTCCCTCATTAAAACACTCTTTAATCATAAAGAGCTGGCCTGGCTAGCGGTCTGGCTGCTATGTAATACCACCGTACCTGTAGACTGTGTACTTCCAGTCATTGCGCCAACACTAGTTAGCATTGGCTCGTGAAACTACTGCTAACTTCCTTCCTACTGCATGCAGAGAAATAAAAATGGTATCCACGAGTTCATCTGACTCTGGGATCCCCCCAGACACTTATCTACATTCAACCTTATACAGACAGCCTTTTCCAGATCACTCAAAATGCTGAGTACCAGACAATCAGTAACGACTCTGTCCTTATCAGACACTTGGGACAATTTGATCGAAAGCGGTGTTGTTGTTTTGGAAAACGGTGCTCTCTCTCAGAGTTATCTTGAGCAATAAGACAAAACAAATGAGGAAAATACTTATTATGGTGGCTTGCCAGCTTCGTTTGAGGGGTGTCAAACAAGAGCATGTTCCTATGGTAACCGTGTCAGAGTGTCCTTGATAGACTCCACATTCTTTGTTGTTGTCTTTTCACCACTCCCACTGTTGTTGGGGGAGAGGACAGAACATGATGGCCATTCTTTGTTTTATTTAACCTTTTTTAAACTATTTATCTCTGGCACTTCCCTGTGTGTGTGTGTGTGTGTGTGTCTCAGTTCCTGTATTTTTCTTCTTCATATACTCTGTAAATGCGCATTATTTTATACATCGATAAACTAGTGTAAGTATTATTTATTTTTATTTTTTTACCTTTATTTAACTAGGCAAGTCAGTTAAGAACACATTCTTATTTATAATGACGTTCTACCCCGGCCAAACCCTCCCCTAACCCGGACTACGCTGGGCCAATTGTGCGCCGCCCTATGGGACACACAATCACGGCCGGATTGTGATACAGCCTGGAATCGAACCAGGGTCTGTAGTGATGCCTCTAGCACTGAGATGCAGTGCCTTAGACCGCTGCGCCACTCGGGAGCACATTCAATGTGAATCTCAAAATGGAACCCCAGATGGCTTTGTAAACAACACACACACATAAGCGTCATGACCCGACCTGGCAAATCATTTAGCCACAGTAAAATGTCATGCTTTTTTCCATCGGTATCTTTGAGACTAAATTGGCAGGCAGAATATGCAACTCTCATAGAAACAGGACAGGTGAGGTATGGTTGGCTAGGCTACATTTATGTCATAATAAAGGTCACAGAATAATGGATCTTTGTATCCTAGCAATACACCAGAGGAAATGGGACATAGGAGAGTAAGCTACTCAGTGAAGGACCTTCAGCAACAAAAGCATCCATTGAAATCAACTTTTGAAAAACCTTTTACATGGGTCCTGGAAAAGTAAGTCTAGACCATCATAAAAGATGCTATGAGACAAAGTAATAGACTGCTTCACATACAGTGCAAACAACTCCAATTATAACTACTTAGTAAACCTAGAGTTGGAAATGCTGCTTCCTGTGGAACCCTATGATAACTATGTGCTATGCTGGCTAAGGCTCTGTTCAGTAGGGGGACAGAGAGACTGGGGACATGGGACAGTGACAAGGCAGTGGGCTCATTAGAGCTGACATTGTCACAGCCATCACAAACGTGCTGGGAAACTAGGGACATGTCACGCCCTGGCTCTGGGGACTCTTAAATGTTGAGCCAGGGTGTGTAGTTTCTATGTTTAGTTTTCTATGTTTGAGTTTCTAGATCGTGTAGATCTATGTTGGCCAGGGTGGTTCCCAATCAGAGGCAGCTGTAGTTCGTTGTCTCTGATTGGGGACCATACTTAGGCAGCCTTTTGGCACCTGTTAGTTGTGGGATCTTGTTCCGTGTGAGGTATGTTATTTGTCTACCTTGGACTTCACGTTTCGTTTGTTGTTTTGTCGTGGTGTTTAAGTTTAAATAAACATGTATGCTTATCACGCTGCGCCTTGGTCTGTCTCATCTGTAAACGATCGTGACAGAAGATCCCACCTAATGAGGACCAAGCAGCGTGCCCAGGAAGAGAAAATAGCGATGTCTCAGGTGGGCAAATGGTGGTCATGGGAGGAGATATTCGCGGGGAAAGGGCCATGGGCGAAGGTAAATGCCCAGGCAGGAGAGGAGAAACGGCGCCAACCGTGCCGACGACGGACACCCGAGAGGCAACCCCAAGAAAATTTTGGGGGGGGGCACACGGAGTGGACGACGAGGCAGCAGGAGGCAGCGACAGGGCGAATCTGCAGACTAGGAGAGGAGGCCACCAGGTTACGGGGGCTATTGGTCCAGAGGGAGCAGGAGTTAATTGGTCAGAGGGAGGAGCTACAGGAGGCGATAAGGGAGAAGGAGAGTGTAGAGGCACGGCGAGAGGAGCTGGTTAGGCAGCAGAAGGAGCGGAGGTTTATAAGGGAACCCAGTCCCGCTCCTCGCACCAAGCAAGTGGTGTGTGTCGCCAGTCCGGTCCGGCCCGTTCCTGATCCCCGCACTAAGCCAGTGGTGCGTGTTCCCAGTACGGCCCGACCCATTCCTGCTTCCCGCACAAGGCCAGTGGTGTGTGTTATTTGTCTACCTTGGACTTCACGTTTCGTTTGTTGTTTTGTCGTGGTGTTTATGTTTAAATAAACATGTATGCTTATCACGCTGCGCCTTGGTCCGTCTCATCCGTAAACGATCGTGACAGGACAACAGCGACAAGGGTTGGCCCCCTTTAGATTTCTGGCTAGACAATACAAAGCACAATGTCTCTATGAATATAAAAAAGCTTCACACTAGAGAAATTGGCCATTTCCATTAATTATGGTGACATTCGTCAGCTGGCCCTCCAGTCCTGGTCTCTGGTCAAAGCAGGCGATGGGTTACGTAACTGCATCAATTAGTAGGGAGCATCAAAACAACAAGGGGTGTTTAGTGATGAACTGGGCTGGAAAGAGACGAGAGGTCCTTGTCTCTCTGAAGGCTCATTGGGCTGATTAACCACCACTACAGAAAGGTTTTATTACTCAGGGCCAACGCAACACACACATTCAGGGCCAACGCAACACACACATTCAGGGCCAACGCAACACAGGCGCAAACACACACAAAAGCACTGACACACACACGCATGCATGCTCATGCACACACTCGCAGACTCGTGCACACACACACACACGCACGTGCACACACACACACACCCATGGCCTATTTCTATTTGACACCTGAATCTAAAGGTATACCTGAAAAATATGATTAATTAAATACCCAGACTTTGTCTTTGATTAAAATGCAAATAAGACCAGATGAAAGGCCTCTGGGGGCTTAATTGTTTCAGCTTGGATACTGATGGTTTACATTTCAAACAGGCTTTGTTTTAAAGGGATACTTCGGGACTTTATCTACTTCCCCAGAGTCAGATGAACTAGTGTCTCTGCATCCAGTATGAAGGAAGTTAGAGGTAGTTTCGCGAGCCAGTGCTAACTGTCGTTAGCACAATAACTGTGGTCCTCTGTAGCTCAGCTGGTAGAGCACGGCGCTTGTAACGCCAAGGTAGTGGGTTCGATCCCCGGGACCAATAACTGGACGTCTATGGCATCTACTAGCATGCTAGCAATTACCATAGACTTCCAGTCATTGCGTTAACACTAGTTAGCAATTGCGATAACGCTAGTTAGCAACTTCCTTCAAACTGCACGCAGAGACATAAAAATGGTATCTACGAGTTCATCTGACTGGGGAAGTATCCCTTTAAGAGGGGAACAGGGCCCGCCTCCTCGTTTTCTTCTAAGGCTAAAAATAGCAGACATCTGAATGGATTATCATAATGAAACAGACTGTTAATTTGGACACAGGATACAGATTCCATGTAAATAAGAAACAAAAGCCCCACAATGCTTCACGATGAGATCCTATTTTAAAATGTTATCACGAGCCACACATCTGACCCAGGACCGGATGACTTTGAAACCCTTTTGCCTCGTTTTTTCTTAGTCTTCTCCCTTTGCTCTGGGCAGCAGTAGTCTTCCTGTGTAAACTGGCTGGGAAATTCTTGCTAGCCCTATTTGTGTAATGTGTTTTTCTCTCACTGGTGTGATATTGCTCTGTAACTAAGATGCTACTGCTGCTGGAATCTTAGCAACGGCCACTCCTGGATTTCACTCATATTAACATTTTTACAGAACGGTTACCTCACAAAAACTGACAGTAGTAGAGCAGACGTTGAACTGTCTCTCTCACTGACAGAACTCATCAGTGGCAACGACACTTCACTGAGCCAGCTGTAAACAACTGAGTTAACCCTGTCCAAACTGAACAGAACTTAAACCTAGTTCCTATCTTGCTTGCTTGGACTACACTCTTAGAAAAAAAGGTGCTATCTAGAATGCAAAACTGTTATTTGGCTGTCCCCATAAGAGAACCCTTTAAAGAACCCTTTTTGGTTCCAGGTATAGAAGGAACCCTTTTGGGTTCCATGTAGAACCTTTTCTACCTGGAACCAAAAAGGGTTATCCTATGGGGACAGCCAAAGAACCCTTTTGGAACCCTTTTTTCTAAGAGTGTATAACCAGAACATGGAGTATGGCCAAAAAAGCCACAGAGACTGAGCGGGAAATTAGGAATATTTATGCTTTAGGCTACTCATTGTTCAACTATTTGCATAATCAAACAGCAACATAAAGAGTTGATAGAATCTGTTGAATAGGCTACTAGTTCCCAGTGCACCACCATCACACAGATCATATCTCTAAATGATAGAATATCAGAATCATTTTTTTTTTTAAACAGGAGAAAATAGTGTAGGATCCTAGAAACAAAACTGCCCTATAATTAAAACAATCCATTGTATTATTGTCCATTTAAACAAAAGACTGGCACTTGAAAGATTTCAGAGGATAGGATATGAGAAAAGCACCGTCCTGAGGCTATGGGAGCAAGATATTGTCCAGGCCTAAAACAAGACACAGGAGGCTAATGAAAATATCAGACAATGAGATATCCCACATCCACGGAAGTGTGTCCCACCAGAGACAGGCTATAACAATGATATCACCAGGATGAGCTGAAATCAAATGCTAGCACACATGCACAGTACACACACGCAAGCACGCACATATGCCCACACAACTTCCCATGTTACTCTCAGATCAAAATAGTCAACCATAAAGGACATAAACAGACCAGAGAAAAAGAGGTGCTGACCCACCCTGTCCATTGGCGTCCGGAGTGAGACAGAAAGTGAAAGTGAAGTGCAGAAGTTTCTCTGTGGAGCTCAGGGTTCCATGCTCTGTGAGACCCCGTCACGTCTAAACTCTCCCCCACCTAGCAGCACTCGTGCTGGGCATGCCTCTGTCTCCCTGCCCCCCCCTCTACCCCTGGATTCTGGATCAGGCTTTCAGATCAGACAACTAACACGAGGATAACCACGCAACACCAGCTTCCCTCTCCCTCTGAGTCCGTGTCTCCTCCTCAGCCTGTGAGAGAGTGTGTGTGAGAGAGAACTAGAGTGTATGTGAGTGTGTCTGGGTGGTCACTGTCGCTAACTGAATCAGCGGTCTTAAGCACCCCGGGGCAGAGTGGGGAAGAGAGAGAGAATGAGTGAGATGGAGACAAACAAACAAACCAAAAGTCTTCTCATGCTTTGTTGATTTCAAAAAAGCTTTTGACTTAATTTGGCATGAGGGTCTGCTATACAAATTGATGGAAAGTGGGGTTGGGGGAAAAACATACGACATTATAAAATCCATGTACACAAACAACAAGTATGCGGTTAAAATTGTCAAAAAACACACACATTTCTTTCCACAGGGCCGTGGGGCGAGACAGGGATGCAGTTTAAGCCCCACCCTCTTCAACATATATATCAACGAATTGGCGAGGGCACTAGAACAGTCTGCAGCACCCGGCCTCACCCTACTAGAATCTGAAGTCAAATGTCTACTGTTTGCTGATGATCTGGTGCTTCTGTCACCAACCAAGGAGGGTCTACAGCAGCACCTAGATCTTCTGCACAGATTCTGTCAGACCTGGGCCCTGACAGTAAATCTCAGTAAGACAAAAATAATGGTGTTCCAAAAAAGGTCCAGTTGCCAGGACCACAAATACAAATTCCATCTAGACACCGTTGCCCTAGAGCACACAAAAAACTATACATACCTCGGCCTAAACATCAGCACCACAGGTAACTTCCACAAAGCTGTGAGCGATCTGAGAGACAAGGCAAGAAGGGCCTTCTATGCCATCAAAAGGAACATAAAATTTGACATACCAATTAGGATCTGACTAAAAATACTTGAATCAGTTATAGAACCCATTGCCCTTTATGGTTGTGAGGTCTGGGGTCCACTCACCAACCAATAATTCACAAAATGGGACAAACACCAAATTGAGACTCTGCATGCAGAATTCTGCAAAAATATCCTCCTTGTGCAACGAAAAACACCCAATAATACATGCAGAGCAGAATTAGGCCGATACCCGCTAATGATCAAAATCCAGAAAAGAGCCATTAAATTCTATAACCACTTAAAAGGAAGCGATTCCCAAACCTTCCATAACAAAGCCATCACCTACAGAGAGATGAACTTGGAGAAGAGTCCCCTAAGTAAGCTGGTCCTGGGGCTCTGTTCACAAACACAAACAGACCCCACAGAGCCCCAGGACAACAACAACAACACAATTAGACCCAACCAAATCATGAGAAAACAAAAAGAGAATTACTTGACACATTGGAAAGAACTAACAAAAAAACAGAGCAAACTAGAATGCTATTTGGCTCTAAACAGAGTACACAGTGGCAGAATACCTGACCACTGTGACTGACCCAAACTTAAGGAAAGCTTTGACTATGTACAGACTCAGTGAGCATAGCCTTGCTATTGAGAAAGGCTGCCGTAGGCAGACCTGGCTCTCAAGAGAAGACAGGCTATGTGCACACTGCCCACAAAATGAGGTGGAAACTTAGCTGCACTTCCTAACCTCCTGCCAAATGTATGACACATATTTCCCTCAGATTACAGAGATCCACAAAGAATTTGAAAACAAACCCAATTTTGATAAACTCCCTTATCTACTGGGTGAAAAACCACAGTGTGACATCACAGCAGCAAGATTTGTGACCTGTTGCCACAAGAAAAGGGCAACCAGTGAAGAACAAACACCATTGTAAATACAACCCATATTTATGTTTATTTATTTTCCCATTTGTACTTTAACTCTTTGCACATTGTTACAACACTGTATATATATACATAATATGACATTTGAAATGTCTTTATTCTTTAGGAACTTCTGAGTGTAATGTTTACTGTTAATATTGATTGTTTATTTCACTTTTGTTTACTATCTACTTCACTTGCTTTGGCAATGTTAACATACGTTTCCCATGCCAATAAAGCCCTTAAATTGAAATTGAATTGAGAGAGAGGGAGGGGGATAGAGGTGCTGCAAGTGTCAGACAGCAATAGAGGTAGGAGCAATGTGTGTGTGGGGGGTTGGTTTTTCTATCCTTGTGGGGACCTAAAATCCCCCAAAGTCCCCACAAGGATAGTAAAACAAGGGGGAAGTTCTCCCTTGTGGGGACATTTCCCACATCCTCATGAGGACAAAGGCTATTTTAAACTTAGGGGTTAGGTTTAGGATTAGGGTTAGAATTAAGGTTAGGGTAAGGGGTTAGTGGTTAGGTTTAGGGTTAGGAGTTAGGTTTAGGGTTTGGGTTATGGTTACGGGTTAAGGTTAGGGTTAGGTTTAGGGTTAAGGTTACAAACTTTAGAAGCCTTTTCAAATACACTACAAGTGTGCTTTTCCTGCTGTACAGGAAAATTCTCAGCAACAAAAGTGATCAAATTAAGATCCTACATCTGTAGGCATAAAGCGCACTACACAGACTCCATCTACTGAAACCTTTCTATGGCTATGTCCCGAATGGCATCCTATTCCCTATATAGTGCACTACTTCGTTAGGCTCTGGTCAAAAGTAGTGCACTATGTAGGGAACAGGGTGCCATTTGGGACACATCCATTGAGTCAGTCTATGTGCATACCAATCATCTCATCCATCTTTTACTCCATTGTGTGACTGTTGCTTAAGTCTGGTTTCTTAAACCAAATCAGTCCGTTTCACTTTAAAGGAGCATGGGTGGTGATAAGGATACTGCAGGCAGGAGGGATTGTAAGGGACAATCATCAGACACACAGACCAGGAAGAACTGTTAGCTGAGAAAGGAGCAGATTGGTGCTTTATCTCTACTATGAGTGCTAAAACAATTCCCTTATGGAAAAATACTTTTCTTTCTGCTAATTGTACAAACTGTACTTCCTTCGAAAATAAAAGAGTTCAAACACACCCTGTTTTCCCTCTGTTTCATGACAATCAGCCTTATTGTGCTGATGGTCGGTAATACAAATGCTATTACAAAGCCAACAAAATTCATAGCCTGAGTGACACCGGAGGCAGAAAACAAGGTCATTTATACACTCGCTGCCAGTCAAATGTTCAAGCTTGACAGGCTCACAGCTATAAACATGGACTGAGACAAGCCCTCAAAAAACTATTCTGACAAAACATGAAAAGACACCAAAAACAACCAAAACATCAAACGCAAAATGCCTCTACATATACAGTTGAAGTCGGAAGTTTACATACACTTAGGTTGGAGTCGTTAAAACTAGTTTTTCAACCATTCCACAAATGTCTTGTTAATAAACTATAGTTTTGGCAAGTCGGTTAGAACATCTACTTTGTGCATGACACAAGTAATTTTTCCAACAATTGTTTACAGACAGATTATTTCACTTATAATTCACTGTATCACAATCCCAGTGGGTCAGAAGTTTACATACACTAAGTTGACTGTGCCTTTAAACAGCTTGGAAAACTCCAGAAAATGATGTAATGGCTTTAGAAGCTTCTGATAGGCTAATTTACCTAATTTGAGTCAATTGGAGGTGTACCTGTGGATGTATTTTAAGGCCTACCTTCGAACTCAGTGCCTCTTTGCTTGACATCATGGGAAAATCAAAAGAAATCAGCCAAGACCTCACAAAAACAATTGTAGACCTCCACAAGTCTGGAAATTGCTCCCAAGGATGAACCAAACGCCTGAAGGAACCACGTTCGTCTGTACAAACAATAGTACGCAAGTATAAACACAATGGGACCACGCAGCCATCATACCGCTCAGGAAGGAGACGCGTTCTGTCTCCTAGAGATTAACGTACTTTGGTGCGAAAAGTGCAAATCAATCCCAGAACAACAGCAAAGGACCTTGTGAAGATGCTGGAGGAAACAGGTACAAAAGTATCTATATCCACAGTAAAACGAGTCCTATAATCGACATAACCTGAAAGGCCGCTCAGCAAGGAAGAAGCCACGGCTCCAAAACCGCCATAAAAAAGCCAGACTACGGTTTGCAACTGCACATGGGGACAAAGATCATACTTTTTGGAGAAATGTCCTCTGGTCTGATTAAACAAAATGTATCTGTTTGGCCATAATGACCATCGTTATGTTTGGAGGAAAAAGGGGGACGCTTGCATGCCGAAGAACACCATCCCAACCGTGAAGCACGGGGGTGGAAGCATCATGCTGTGGGGGTGCTTTGCTGCAGGAGGGCCTGGTGCACTTCACAAAATAGATGGCATCATGAGGAAGGAAAATTATGTGGATATATTGAAGTAACATCTGAAGACATCAGTCAGGAAGTTAAAGCTTGGTCGCAAATGGATCTTCCAAATGGACAATGACCCCAAGCATACTTCCAAAGTTGTGGCAAAATGGCTTAAGGACAACAAAGTCAAGGTATTGGAGTGGCCATCACAAAGCCCTGACCTCAATCCTATAGAAAATGTGTGGGCAGAACTGAAAAAGCGTGTGCGAGCAAGGAGGCCTACAAACCTGACTCAGTTACACCAGCTCTGTCAGGAGGAATGGGCCAAAATTCACCCAACTTATTGTGGGAAGCTTGTGGAAGGCTACCCGAAACGTTTGACCCAAGTTAAACAATTTACAGGCAATGCTACCAAATACTAATTGAGTGTATGTAAACTTCTGACCCACTGGGAATGTGATGAAAGGAATAAAAGCTGAAATAAATCACTCTCTACTATTATTCTGACATTTCACATTCTTAAAATAAAGTGGTGATCCTATCTGACGTAAGACAGGGAATTTTTACTAGGATTAAATATCAGGAATTGTGAAAAACTGAGTTTAAATGTATTTGGCTAAGGTGTATGTAAACTTCCGACTTCAACTGTATATAATATGGACTAGTCTGGTCATTTCTGCATCAGAAATAGAATCCTCATGACATATACCCTGAACAAGTCTCTGGGAGCCGTAGTGTCTGTTGAGTGGATATGATGTTGAACAGGTGCTGTATGTGGCGTAACTAGTTTAATGTGTTTAATAAGGGTAGTCATTACCTGCTTTTCCAGCTTCTGCTGCCTGAGGCTGGTGCTGTCATCATCAAG